GCTCAGGCACCCCAGCCTTGGGCTGGCTGCTCACACACCCCCACCCAACTGCTGGGCACCAGGACCAGAGACCCCCCACCCCTCTGCATTGTAGAGCACATCCACAGTTGCCCTGTTCCCTCCTGGAGGGCCCTTACAATGTTGTTTGAGAGTGCTCAATCCTCTCAGCCTGGCACTCACCTTCTCTTCGCTCCTGGCAGATGTTCCCACCCTTCTCTCTGAAAGGACCTGACGACAACTCTGTCAGCACCAGTAGGTTCTTACAGACTTGTGTGAATCACTGATCATCTCCTGGCCTGCTCCTCTTGCAAATTCAGTAGCTTTAGTTTCACACTCAAAATATTCTGTATCTCATCTTCATTTATCCTTAGGCTCCAGTTTCTTGTTATACCCAGAGCCTTTCCTACAGGCCAGTGTCTCTGCTTTCCCTTGCCACTCTCAAGCCTGATGAATCACCTTTGGATGCCATTCTGGTCCTCTGCACTCTCAGAGGTACCTGCCTCATGTTGTTTTCCCAGTGCAAACATGAGGCTGACATCCCCAGTGCAGTACTGGCCAGCAGGCACTTTGTAACATTTAAAGATTTTTTTTCTTTTGACGTCTTCTTCCACAATCTGTGACAGAGAAGGCAGGCAGGACACCTTTCTGTATCTTCACTAAAGGTGTAAACACAATTTGTTCCCGTGAAGGGCAGCAGCTTTTCAGGTAGGGTATGACTTGTCACGTTTTGTGGGATCTTTAGACCAATCTCCACTTGCAGGCCTGGAAACCTGGAAGGAGGAGAGGAGCTTCTGCATCTGTTCCCCGATCTTCTCATACATCTATTCTTGTTTAACAGTGTTTGGGACCATCAGGAGAGCCCTGTGTATGTCCACAATACAGTCCTGCCATGTTCTCAGATGTTACAGATGTCACTGAGGAAGCAGCTGAGTGACCTGAGACACTGAGTGACACCCACCCTCTCGGCAGCAGGGACAGGCTTCTCAGTGACCTGGCACAGAGGGAGAGCCTGGGGGTGCTGGTCAGGCACAGCTGCTGGGGGAACAGCTGGCAGCTTCTCACTCCCCCTCGCCAGCACATCCAGACCTCTCACTGCCTGGGGGGACCCAGGGGCTGGGTTCCTAATTCACAGAATCCTCTCCCACTGTGACTGAAAGCCCCCACTGCTGGGTTGGAGTCACAGTGCCAGCTCCAGAGAGCCCAGCTCTGCAGGAACAGCCCTCGATGGGTGAGCTGGGTCTCATCTCATCCATAAAGCTGGGTATCAGTGTGGAGCACTGCACAGCCCCTCATCCTCTCAGAGGGGTGGCAGAAGGAAGGCATGTAGCATCCTCTGGGATAGACTAGCAGGGGATTCTTTAACACTGCTAATTGTTTGGCCACAGGAATTCTCCCAGTAAGCAATTCTGGGAACTCTTTCCATAAGGAATAAATACTGCCCAGATGGACAAACTGTGCTGGCTGTCCACACATTGCCTTGGCATGCCGATGCCCTTGGTTAAGCCTTTTTTCTCTAATAATTTATTTACATGAGGGCTTTGTCAGGCTCCCTGGAAAGAGCTCTTATTTCCAAGCAGAGCCCTTTCTGAGGTGAAACAGTGCAAAGCACAGCAGTAATAGTCAGCTGTTTGCACTCCTGGTAAGTGCTGGACAATCTGCTCGACTTGCAGACACTGCAGAGCCGGATGTCTTTCCCTTAATGCAATAAAATATGTATAAGTAGGAAAACCATTGTCAGTGGACTGATCTTCATAGTTTCTGGAGCCAAAAGTTAATCCTGGGAACACAAAGCTGCTTCCACATGTGAAATGGCAATGAAGCAGGAGTGCAAGTGGGAGAGCAGATGGATCTGGTTCATGGTGTACCTTCAGGAAGGGTTCAGGGACTCCCAACACATGGAGCCAAGAGGGTGGTACCTGCTGTTGTAAATAAAGGGGTGGAAATGGATGTTTTACTCAGTGTGTCCAGGGAGATCCAGCCACAGATACAGTGAAGTCTGTCCTCCCTGGACCTCAGCCCAGTGGGGATTAGTTTACAAGCAAAACTCTATAAGAATCCTACTGAAGAAAAATTATGGAAACTAGTGTCCTGTGATTGATGGAGCCAAGATTTCCCAGTGGGAACCCAACATGCTTTATCCCACTCAGATTAGGCTGTACTACATCCTCCCAGAAGACATGGACAAGGTAAGGCTGGGTGAGGAACCTAGATTTTAAGACACCTACAAAATCAGCAGCTCCTTTGGAAATAAAATGGTAATTTCCCATCCCTTTTTACCCATGATTCCCAGGGCAGGGGTGAGCCATAGCAATCTGCATCCCCTTTGCTCTCCTACTGCCAGGGAAACCTGAGACTTCAATGGTCATTGCTGCCAAGTGTAGCAGCTTTAGTATTGGGCTGGGAATGCACCTTTGGAGCTTATGGGCAGAGGGGGAGGATGGAGAATCCTCGTGGCAGGGAAGGGCTGGGTACTGTGAGTCCCAAGCGTGTCTGTGCTTAGCCTTCATCAATTCAAGACACTGATAGATAAGACCACACCACAATACACACTGGTGGAGCTTGCTGAAAGGACCAGCAGTGTCACTGGGGATAAAAGAATCATGAATTCCTGTTCTCAGAGTTCGGGGGAGACCTGTGCTTTCTCCAGAGAAGCCAGGGTGCAACTCCAAGGGTACACAGGACAACCCATCAGGGTGGAGAAGGGAAGTGTATTTGGGCAAATATACTTTGGTATTATATATTTAGTGCAAATATATACAAATTAATAAACAAAATGAAAGAATATTTTGAAGGAGTGCTTATTAAATCTTTATCTTATCCTTTTGCAATGTCTATTCATGTGTATGTTTTACAAGCTACATGTATATAACTTATGAATAAAGGGAGACATCCCTGCCAGAGGGCTGGAGGTGCCTGCAGTCAGGGTAAAGGCACAGGTGGTTTCCCAAGCTTTCATCCAGCAGGATCTTGCAAGCCCCCAGGGTGGTGACCATGACTTTAGTGGGTCCCTCTCTGGCTCTCCCAGGAAATCAGGTCCCACTTTGCTACCAGCCCTGCTTATCCCTGATGGATCAGTGATGGAGGATCTTAGCCCCACTGTGGTCGGGCTCCCATGGCCCCATCCACCTCCCTACCTACCACTTGCTCCCAGATGAAGAAATAATGCCCCTGCCCCATGGCTGAGTGATGCTGGGGAGTGCTGAGGTCACTTCCCTAAATTCCTCCCATGTCAAACTATGACAGGTCCCCACAGAAGTGCTGTGTCCAGTAAATGGTTTTTATCTCAACTCACATTTTTGTGTCACCAGCTCTCAGCTCCATTTCCAGAGCAGGAAGGAGGTCGTAGAAGCGAGGGAGGGAGGGGTCAGGGGGAGGGAGCAGCATCTGGTTTGGGAGAGTCTTGGCAGGGGGCACTAAATTCCTAAACCATGACAGCAGCTTTTTCTTGGGGAAGTAAAATCCCAGACAGGGATTATTTTTTTCATTTTTCTCACAGAAGCAAAGGGCCAAGGAAATTAAGGAATAAAGAAAATTTAAGAGGTAACAATTCTGCTGGGAGCAGATGACATGGCTGGCCCCATGCCATGCTGTCACCCACCTCTACGTGGCACCTTCCTGCTCAGCCATGGTGGCAGGGGGAGCCACGAGCAGGTGACAATTCCTTCCCAAGCCAGGCCTGACATCCCTGTCACACCACAGCACGGCAGCTCGCTCTCAGCATTCCTTGGACAGGCTCGGAGCAGGCTGACAGCCTGCCAGGGCACCACCGACACTCTGACGGGGCTGCCACGGCGTGTCGGCTGGGGCTGAGCCCAGCCCTGCAGCACGGCCCAGCCATGGGAATCCCTGCGCTGGGAATCAGGCAGCACATGCTGGCCAGCGGGATCCCAGACAGCACGTCCCATACAGCATCGTGTCTCCTGTGTTTGTGCCAAGGCCTCAGGTCTGTGCCCAGAGCAAGGGGCCAGGGACTGGATGCCAGGATTTAGCAGAAAATCCCCTGACTCCATGGGGGAAAACCTTGGGTTGCCTGGGAGCTCTGTAGCAAACAGGGACAACCTGGCATTCCTGCTGGACATGGCTATTGGTGTGACTGGGATGTCCTTGTGGCATCTCTGGGGCTTGTGGCTGTGGAGGCACATCACCACCAAGCACCCACTGTCCTGCAGCCAGATGGGACATACTCTGAAGGGGATGTAGGGGCTGAAAAGCAAACCCTAGAGATGTGAGACTAATCCAGGATATGGAAAGAGGTTTTGCAAGGGAGTGACCCAAGAATGTGGCTCTGACTGGGAATGGAGGGGGTGCTTTGGCAGTGCACGCCTCTATCCAAAGGCAGTGGCAGCAGATGAGGTCTGACCAGCACTCAAAGCCAGGTCCCACAGCTGCAGAGCACACAGGGATGAGACACCTCCAGCTATCGGCCTGAACATTACCCCAGCAGCCACATAACCCACAGGTGAGATTCCCCAGCTCCTCACTCCCAGTGTATGCCATTAACGTGGGACTGGGGAATAACCAGATCCCAACACAGCATTACAGACTGCATTGGGTTGGAAGGGACCTTTCAAGGTCAGATAGTCCAATACCCCTGCCATGGCAGAGACAGCTGCCACTTACTCAGAGCCCTGTCCAACCTGGCTTTGAACGTTTCCAGGGATGGGACAGCCACAGCTTCTCTGGGCAACCTCTGCCAGGGCCTTTCCACTCTCATAGGGAAAAATTTCTTCCCAATATCCCATGTAACCTTGCCCTCTGGCAGAAGGAAGCCATTCCACCTTGTCCTGTCGCTCCAGGCCCCTGTCCAAAGTCCCTCTCCAGCCCTCTGGAGCTACCTCAGGCACAGGGACGGGCCCCGAGGCGCAGCGCCCGGAGCACCCCGGCCCGGTGGTGCCACAGCCGGGGGCGCGGGGGCCGGGCCTTGGCGGCGGGGGTGGAGCCCAAACGCGGCGGAGCCCCGCCCCTCCTCCTGGCCCCGCCCTTCCTCCTGGCCCCGCCCCGCCGCCCGCAGCCGCCGCGGCCCGGCGCCCGCCCGTGTCCGTGTCCGTGTCCGTGTCCCTGTCCCTGTCCCTGTCCCTGTCCCTGTCCGTGGACGTGGACGATGGTGGCGGCCCGGGGCGCTGCCGCCCGCCGCGGAACGCTGCTGCTGCTGCTCACCGCCCTCGGATCCTTCCGTCTGCGCCTCGCCCGTGCCGGTGAGTACCTCTTCGTTCCCCCACTCCCGTGTCCGTGTCCTCTCCCTTCCCCCGCGGATGCTCGTGTCCTCCCTACGACGAACCCTGGTACGGCTGTCCCCCTCTTCTCCCTCATTATCTCCATCCCCACCAGGGATCAGCATCCGTGGGTGTTCATGTTCTTGGGTGGAGCAAGATAGGAGGTGCCCCCGCCACAAAGCCCCACGGGGGTTTCTCACGCCCCGCAGCGCTCCCCGGGGACGGGCATCGCCTCCCCGTCACTCTCCTGCCCGCTGCTGCAGGCAGGGGCCTGGCAGCGGATGGCAGCGCCGCAGGGCTGGTCCCCAGCAGCTATTAGAGGGGACTGGAGGGACCCACAGATGTGGATCCTGGAGTGGGGAAGGAGCACATTGTCATGGAAGCGGCCCTCATGAAGCACCTTTATTGGTAGGAAAAAATTACAACAACATCAAAAAACACCGCAACAGAGAAAAAAAAAAAGGGCGCTGCAGTGACCGAGCCATCCCGGGGAGCCGCCGGGGGTCGGGTGGAGGGAGCCCTGTTTGCCCACCTGCCTCATTGCCCCGGGAGCGGCCGCAGCATCGCCCCGGTACACCAGCGACGGTGACATTCCTGCTCTCCGCCGTGGCAGAAGGAATGGGTGGCCTTCGCACCCTCCCGTGCAGCACCGCCCTAAGGTGCCTTGCTGTCTGCTGAAGGGTTCTTTCGGGGCGTTCGGGTTTGATTTGTTTGAGTTTCGGGGTCTGGGTTAGGACATTTCCCTCCTGGGGCGTCTGGCACTGGACATGCTCCTTGTCCCCCGCTCTGTGCCCACTGCTGGGGTGGCATCGCGGGGCTGCGATGGGCACAAGCAGCGGCCCACAGCCCGGCCAGCGCCAGGCCCCGCTGCTGCCTGCGGGGAAGGCTGTGGCTGCCCGCCCCGGGGAGGTGCCGTGTCCCTGCCTGGGTACGGCCTGTCTCGGGCAGGTGTTTTCCGCCTGGCTGGCGCAGGAGCCGGGAAGGGCCTCCTGGCTCCCAGCATTGTTTGCGGATCCGATATTGTTTCCCTTCTCTGGCTCCCGGCAGGGCGGACGCCGGGCAGTCAGCCTGCTGTCAGCCAGGGCCCGTGGCCTCGCCGTGCTTCCGCGTGCTCTGAGGGGCAGCGGGAAGCTGCAATAATTTTTAAATCTCCCAGTGAATCAAAACATCTGTGCATTTCCACGTCGGAGGGTTGGAGGCAGAGGTGGGGATGCTCCTGCACTCCCCCTCTTCCCGCGAGGCAAGGCTGGGGTGCTCCAGCCAGAGGTACTGCTGACACAGGCTGAGATGGAAGGAAGGAGACCTGGGCGGCTCGGATGAGCCACCAGTGATCCAGCATAACCTCTTCTCCTCCTGAATTTAGGGGTTAGTGTGGGATCATCTGGCCTGGCAGGGCTGGTTGGGCTGGGTCCCTGAGGGGCTGCCGGGGTGGTTGTGCCATGGTGCTGTCAGGGCATGGTGACAGTTTCCCCTTCCCTTCCCCTCCCTTCCCAGCCCTAGGAGGATGCTGGAGGTGAGGTGAGCATGAGGGGGCCTGGCAGCACATCAGCAGCCTGTTCCAGTGCTGGGATATTGCATGCTCTAGGCTTATGTGGGGTTGGATTTTCAGTTCAACCTCTTTCTCCTGAGAGAAGCTGGGGATGGTATCTTTGCACTGTTCCCAACAGCAGCATCCCATTGCCAGGAGTTCAGGGTTGTATGGCATGTGGCAGTGGGGAGCTCCAGGTAGGTTTCTCCTGCGGACAGCTGAAGAAAATATCCTTGGGATGCTGGGTAGGTAAAGGAGTCTCTGTCCCAATCCTACCACCTTTCTCTAAGTGCAGTGGGGCACAGGAAGCATTGGCTCTTTCTTCTCACTTTATAATTGCCTTTCCTGGGCAGATGGGATCAAGCTTGGCTTTCTCTGGGGATGGGGCTGTGAGGTGGAGGTGGCAAGTCCAGGAGCAGCTCCTATTCTGCATATGCTGGTGAAACTGGCTCCTGGCAAGGAGGGAGCCAGGGTCCTTCACCATCATACCCATGTCCTCTTGCCTCTGCAGCTCCATCAAAGCTTCTTCAGATTGGAGTTGGCATCTCCTTCTCCTCCTCCTCCTCACTTTCCTTGGCTGGTGCTGTGACCCTGAGACCCTGCAGCAGATGCCATCTCCTGGGATGCAGCTGCACGTGGCTCAGTAATATCCTCATCTTGCTGTGAGCCTGATCCGAGCTGGAGGAAGGGCAGCAGTGCTTTGGAGGTGCTGCAGGTGGTTTAGGTTTGCTTGCTGCTCATCAGCTGGGCTTTTTTCTCCCACGTGTCTCTATGCATCACACCAGGCTTTGGGCAGAGGGCCTGCCTTGCTTCGTTTTCTGGCTTAATTTCTTGGAACATGAGTGACAGCCGTATTTCTCCCCACTTCTTAAGTAACTAGGTTGACAAATTTCATCTATTATTATCATTGTTATTATTGTAAACAACAAAAAAAAATTTTCCAAATGGGATGACAAGCTAGAATCCAATTTTTTCATAATCCTGAAGCCCCCTGCCACAGCCATCAGTTCACATCCCAGACATCTGGAGAAGATGCTCAGCAAAATCTGAGTTTTGTTTCCAGTCCAAGTGACCCATTTGGCCACGTTTGACCTGCTGGCTCTGCACTGCTGCTCCTTGTGCTGCTCTGCAGGGATATGGGTGGGAGCACAGATGCTGGTGTTGGCTGCCCCTGCTCTGCAGTGGTGCAGGTACTGCTCAAACTTCCCATCTGGGCATGGCTAAGCAGGAGCCATCCCCTGGGAAGTTCCCATGCTCAGCCTGTGGTGGGATTGTCCATCTCTTATCTTTTCCTCCTTGCCTGCTTGTCCATTGCTGCACTGGGGACAGGGTTGGGACACAGTGGGTGCAGTAGCCCCATGGACCCCCATGCTGGCCCCTGAAGCTGCGGCAGCTCCAAGCCACACTTGGGAGCAAAACATCGGGACTGGTTGTGCGCCTGTGGTGCTTGCAGGGGCCTGGCTGCCCTGCCGAGTGAAGGGAGTGATCTCAGCCCCGCAACATTCTCTGAGTCAGTGTGCAGGTAGCAGCCCCAGTTTTGTGTTGAGGCACGGGAAAGGTTGTGTGGGTCCCCCCTGGGAGTGGTGGCAGTGGTGGGCAGTGGTCCCACTCAGCCACCCCCATCCCTTCAAGCCTCCCATGGTGGGGTGTCCTCTGCCACACTGGTGCAGACCAAGTGTTTCTCCGTGCAGCAGCTGGGGTGCTGCCCATGTGGTTTTATTCTTGGAGGTAATGTCTCCACCGTGTTATCTGGGGTTACTTGTGCTCAGCTGGTTCCCACTGTGGGAAAGGAGCCCTTGTGGTCGTGAGGTGTGGAGGAGCTGGGATGTGCGGCACAGGCGTCTCACAGGGCTCCATGGAGCTGGTACACATGCCAGGGATATGGGCAGGGCTCCGTCTCCAGGCCTGAGGAGGGGAAATGGGTGGAAAGATGCCTGATAATTCCAATTGCAGAATCAGCATCAAGGAAGAGTTTATGGAAGAGATGGGGTGAAAATCCCTCATCCCTTTTGCTTTAGCTTTGTGGGGACTCACAAATCCATGTGCCCCCCAGCAATACCCAGCCGGTGCATGGAGAGCTGGACCTCAGGGTGGGGAGACTGGGATTCTGGAGCCAGGGGCCTGCTTGCACTGTGCAGGGTCAGGTCCTTCGGATCTGTCATTTCCTGGCAGCTCTGGTCCCCCACCCCAGGGATCCCTCAGTCCCCAGGGAGCCCAAGTCTTCCCCCAGCTCAGGGGAAGGTGCATCGATGTTTGCCTGAAATGTCTCTTCTGGGCCATGGGGGTATTAAGGGAGGTAATCGGCTTAGCCCTGCCGGGTGCTTCCGGGGGGGCACAGCATCAGGGGGTGACAGTGTGGTCAGGGCACTGGGGACACGGAGGTTGGTGGTGGATGCTGGAGACTAGAGGAGTGATGGGGCCTATCAGGGGTGGCAGGGGCAGGGGGAACAGAAGGGGTCACTGGATGGACAGCGTGCTGAGGACAGGAGAGGTGTGGTGATGCTGGAGACAGGAGGGCTGATAGCACAGTGGGGACTCCGGGAATGAGAAAGTTAATGGGGGCTGCTGCGGACAAGAGCTACGGGCATGTTGTGGACAGGATGGGTGGTTTGGTGCCCGGGGACAAGAAGGCTGATGGCATGGCCTCTCCCCATGTGCAAGGTGCTGGGTCCCTGGGCACAGGGTACAGAAGCTGCCATCAGTCCCATCCCTGCATTAAATCCATAAACACTGTGCCCTGGTGCTTGGTCCCCACCAAGAGCTCTGGGTCTGGTCCCTGAGGGGGGTAGTGGCTCCCCTGGACTGGCTGGCTCCAAAGCCCTTGGGCCTGGCCCCAATGCCACTGCCAGCACCTGAGGTATCTCCCTCCTGTGCCTGGGCATAACCCAGCACTGGTGCTGCTCCAAATGGCAGCTGCAGGCCTGTAATTAGCCACTTTGTGAGCTAACGAGAATTGCAACAGGAAGAAACTGGCCGTTAAGTGCCTGAGTGAGCTTTGAATTGGAGGAAGGAAACAGCCAGAGCAGGTCCTGGTCCCAGCCTTATCCTGCCCTGGAGCACCGTGGGCTGTAACCACCCATGCTAACACATGCACACTGTGGCACATGCTGGGGTACTTCCTGCACAGGTAGAGGATGGCAATGCTTTTGAGAGGTATTTGCTGTTTGACTGGGAACCTATTGCACTCGGTGGGTGACATGAGAGGTGACATGTCAACTGAGTGCTGTCAGGGACCCTGACTCATTGTGCAGGGGTTTCCTGGGCTCCTGGCCCCTGTTCCGTTCCTATAGAAAGGAGACTGTGGTGGGGGTGGAGACACTGGAGACCTGTACCTATCTGTGGAAGGTACAGGTCTCCAGTGCACCCACAGCACCCATGGCTGCTCTCTTGTAGGTGAGGAGCTGCTGTCCCTTGGGGACTTCATCATCTCTTACCTGTCAGAGAGAGTGAGAGG